TGGCTCAGGATAGCGGAAATAAAATGATATAAATGATAAAGCATACACACGGAATGATGAAAATTAATAAATCCTGAGGAAGGGTCAGGATGACGGGGTAAATCACAAACCTTGGTAAACATACAAACCAAATGATATTTGAGCAACGTTAAACCGAGGGCTAGCCAGAGAGAGAAAGAGAACCTCCCAGCCGCATTTGTCTTCCCGCCGCAAGTGATAAGAATATGCATACGCTCAAGAGAGCATTTTCCTTTGGAAATAAATCAAACACTACGATGGAAAACTACCACCACAGACCGTGAGTCACATACAGAATCGTAACTGCGAGTGATACGGTACCAAAAACTATGATGGAATAAATGTTAACTTTAAAAACCTTAACCCACCCTTTGTGCGTCGGAAAATGTCATACAGGGGGGAAACTCGCCCCTCCCTCCAGATTGTATAACGCAGACAGAGGGATGCCTTCGGGACGATTTGAAGCATGTTTCCTTTTGATGGTTTATGGCTTGAGGAAGGCAACGAACAGAACTATGCCATAAATGACACACACACTGACACACATACGGACACACAAACCCCAACCCCACGACACACAGCTAGATCAAAGGGAGCTCCGCCCCTTGTAAGGAGGAGGAGCCAAGGGGAGATATTTTGTCATAAAAAGAGGGGCCCGCGAGTATTGAATTCAGCTCATCTACCAGCGGACCAGCTCAGCATCACCCAGCAGAAGAAGACGGCGATCATCAGAAGATCAGCCAACCACCGACGCAAAAGAAGTCTCTACAACTCGCCAGAATGGTGAGACTCGCTACTTAGCTACATGCTATGCCGTGCGAATTCAACGTCATCAGAAGAAGTATCGCTCGAAAACCACTCCGCTAGTCTGAACCTCGACTCTCAAGAGTCACTGCAGACTTGTTGAAGCGGACGAGAACTCCAGCATCAGCCACCAGGGGGCGGAAAGGGTCAAACGTTGACCCAACCGGCCATCAACGAACGGAGCCATCATTCATCGCCAGATCAGCGCGTCAACGGCGAGCACCGAGACAGCTGCAACACGAGCTGTGAGTGCCATCTACCGACGGAACACTGCGCCTACAGCGCACCGTGCCAACTCATCAACCAGTGTGGGGCGAACTCGACTGCTGTGAAAGAAGAATCAACTATACGTATGACGCACTCTGCCCCCCACCACACGACAAACCTGGCGTCTGCTTGACGCAAAGAATGAATTCCGAACACTGGCCTACTCAACCAATCCAAATCACTCAAAACATACACGAGTCATTAACAAAAAGCCTAATCCTCAAGTACGTGAACCATCAGTAGCCGTGAAGGCATCGCGGCAGACCGAGTGATAACAATCCGTCGTTTATAAGTACATTAATATTTTTTTCTTTCTTCTCAATTCTTTTGTTTGGGTTGTACGTCTAATCGCATAAAATACCAATAGATTCATCAATACGAATTAATCCTTGACACCTTCGACAAGGAGCCACGCTCACAGGGGGGGGGGAGGGGGGAATAGCGTGTCAAACCGGTTTCCTTATCAGGCGATCTGTCCACAATTAATCAAAGTTGACCTAAGTTAAGAATCTCAGGGGAGAGCACGCACACCATCGCACCCCTTTACTCCAAGCCATTTCTTTAATCAAATGAATGAGTATGATGAATCTATTCACGTATATTTGTGCTTTTGAGAATAATAATCGTTTTGATTGCCTTTTTGTATGAATATCGTTGCATAATATTAAGGACCTTTCACGCAGGCTCGGGGACTCTGCATAATAATCAATGGTTCTGTTGCTCTGTTAACAACGTGACAAGAATTGCATTGAGGGTTGCATATGGATCAATGAATGAGTGTAGTAACGTGTGGGCAATTTCAAGTATAAGAATTTGCATATTATAGTGTTAAGGTTTTTGTGTAGAACAGTGCATGCATGTTTTGACGACTCTCTCTCTCACCAACTGAGCTCGCATTACGCGGTGGAATTAATCACATGTGCCGTTGCCAAAGTGAAACAACGCAATCGTTGATGGTTACTGTGTTGATACTGTGTTGGAATTCCAAGCCAAGAGTTGCATCTTCTAGAGTTAAGGTTTCGTTTAGAATAAATTGCTTAAACACAGAATTTGGTGTGTTTCCTTCCTGTTTCATGCATAATAATCTCATTCATAAGAACTGTATTCTGCGTTGAGATCTGATTTTGGAGACCTGACATAAACACACTAATACACTCAGTAAATGTTAAAGCGAGAATAATTGTATTGCCGAGCGTTAATACGAATTTAAACAACGAAGCCGAGCCTACTCTTGCATACTTGCATCACACTGGCATAATTTCATACGATTAATTGTCTTATTCCGATTGATGATACGACCCTCGTCAACGAGGCGGGGCCTAATTATCATAAAGGCTGTCATCAGCATAATCACACACACTCGCATAAATTAATCAATACGATTATCCTTCGAATGAGCATAATTTATGCGCATAATTACATAAACTAACATAATTTCGGATAATTACGCAATTTTCCAAAATTCATTGCATTTTTATTATTTTCATTAAAATTTCATAACCGACATATACAACATTGTCTTAAGGGAATTAAATGTAACTGCTAGTAGCCAGGGGAGAAAACGTGTTACATCGTGTAGATTTATAGTTATAAAACATTGGTTAATGATTACATTGTTTGAGAAGCTACATTGTTTGTGAAGCTTTTTTTTGGTGATTTAGAAAACATATGGTTAATCTATCTTATGGTTGGTATTGTTTGACTTGCATCACACTGGGATTTGAGCACACAGCGTTGTAATGTTTTTTTAGATTTGCTGGTTTATTTAGGATGTTTCTGTTGCGCGTCGTCGCTTCAAGACGATTCTAAAGTAATCTACAACCTTCGATTCCTTTGCGCGATTATTGGCGCGCTCGGGTTTTATTATAGTTTAAAAGAATGAGTTATTTTTTCATTTGTATGTTATGTTTTTAAGTTTTCAGACGTTTTAAAATATATATTTTCCCACTAGTAGCATTATATATCGACTCTATAGCACAAAGTACTCACCTGACAGAGTGCCGTGACGAGGCCTAGTCCCGTGCAGAGCCTCCGTCCTCGCCTAGATTTCCCGGCCGCCTGGGGCCTGGGCCACTACCCCCCCCCCCCCCACGCGCTACAATCCTATTTAATCGCTATAATTTGAGTATTTACCGAGCCTATAATAGTAAGTGCACACATTGGGGTGGAGAGAAGAGGACGTGAGTGCGTTGCCAGAGGCAACCCTCGGTCAGCGTTTCGCGCATGCGCAGCAGCGAGCCGGTCGGCAAAAGTAAATAAATAAATAAAGTCGCACTTAATCATTAATTTAACCACTTTAAAGGTGACGGACGGCAAAACGGAATAGCCTATGCCAAGCAGGGAGCTCGGGGCGTGCCGTCCGGCAATTTTTTTTCTACACGAACCCCGCGGTCCGAGAGCCAAATCCCCCGCAAGTGAGCGTACACAGACGGACAGACAGACAAAAAATGACGTTTATAGGTTAGATAGCCCTGTGAGCCATGAGGCTCTTGACTCGGGTACAACCGCAACAAACAAAAACATGAACAAAAACATCCGAAAGCGACGACGCGCAACAGAAACATCCAGGAAAAACAAAACTTACAGAAAATGCACCGTATATCAACGCTATGTGCAAAAATCCCAGTGGGATGCAAGTCGAACAATAACAACCATAATACAATTTAGATAAAGTTATCAGGCTAACTCCATACTTCAACAAACAAACATGGCTTAACCATACATTTTCGAAATCACCAAAATAAAGCTATAAAAACAATGTAACAGTGATCATAGAAACTGTGATTCAAATTTAACAATAAACAATATACTTAACATGTACAACCAAACTTTGCAGCCAAAGCTGGAGCATGAGTCTCTCTTCGATTACGTTATTTCGGTTAACAGTCGATTTTGTGGAACGGATTAAAAACATTAACCGAGGGACTACTGTTTTATTAATAACCATGTAACTTGTAATGCACCACTGCACAGTATTGGCTCACTCTCGATGAGAGAGAACAACTCAAGAGGCACGAAGAGGAACCACTGACAAGCAGGAAGCCAGCCACTTTGCTCAACATTCCAGGAGTCAGCCGCTCAAAGAAGAAGTTGCTGACATGGCCGAGTTCTGCAGTGGCTAGATGTTAACTACCTCACCTGGTATACAGGAGAATGTGGGTTCGATCCCGACCCTGATGCCTGCTGTATATATGGAGTTTGCATGTATCTCTCCCAGTAGTCATGCGGATTTTTCTCCGGGTCCTCCGGTTTTTCCCTCCACATTTAGAAACATCGTGTTTAGAGTATTTGGCTGCTGTAGATTTCCATATGATAAGCCACTTTCGTTAGGATATTATTTGTGGCCAGGTCGCACCTCCAATTGGCACTCTGTTTACCAAAAACACATTAAACTAATACACTTTTTAATTTTACCAGGTAAGGCCCACTGCGCCATATAGCTCTTTTTTCAGATACGACAAATGCAAGCTCAACAAAGTAGGTTATCATCACGTAGAAATTGACAGCAGCCAAAGACTCTAAATACGTAAAATGTGGAGAAAAAACGGAGGAGACGGAAAAAAATGCACGCGACTACGGGGAGAGGGAGAGACACGCAAACTCCAAATATATAACAGGCGTCAGAGTTGGGATCAAACCCACGACCTCCTGTATACCAGGCGAGGTAGTTGACATCCTGCCATGGTGGCACCCTATAGGAGGTACGCCTGCGCATTGTTGTATTGCACTTCCATGCTCTCCATGTCTATGCTGCCCACCCTTCACCAAACCGCGCTGATCGGTGTGGCGAAGCACGGCCAAGCCACCAATCCCCCACGGCCCACACCAGCATGGCGATGGGGATGCCCCCCTCTCATCCAGCAGCGTATCGGCATGGCGACATGGTGGAATGGTGGCTGTGGTGCATGCACCTGACACTCGCGGGGCTGCGGCTGTGCATGTTCGGAGTGGCCTCCTCGCCATTGGTCCCAGCGGAGAGCGCACGAGGTGCTGGAGCTTCCCCTCCCGCCGGGCCGCCGACAAGCCGCGTCGCCACAGGGGGGCTTGTGGGCAGCCGCCCTGCCCCCCCTGCACCACGGTGACACGTGAAGAGACACACACAGACACACGCACATACATGCGGAGACAGACACGCACAGTAATGCAATGTTCAGATTGAGCCGCAACATTCGCAGCAACTTTACTTGTATTTTATAGGTGGGGGAGTGCCCTCCACATTTAATAGCCGGGCGGTGGTGGCTACGTTCACCTGTAATCCAGCACTGTGCAGGATGTCATGATATACCGGAGGTCATGGGTTCAATCCTGATCTTGTCGCCTGCATATTTGGAGTTTGCATGTTCTCTCCGTGGTAATGAGTATTTGGCTGCTATAAATTTCCACGTGATAAGCCACTTCATCGAGCTATCATTTGTGGCCAGGTCGCTTCTGAAAAAGAGCTACATAGCTCAGTGGGCCTTACCTGGTAAAATAAAAAAATACATTGGTGAAGGCATCGTATTGTCTGCATATATTTATTTTGCCACTCGTATTCTCCACTACGATGCAAATTATTATTTTGTGCTCTGTATTGCAGAGTTGTTGTTTTTTTGTCAAAACTAGGACCCATATCTAATGGAGACTAGCCATCAGCATTCGTTCATGTGTAGTGACATCGGGGTGCCAGCCTGAGAGGGCTGTGGCATGCGATGCACTGTCATCGCGTACACCCCGTAGGCGGGTGTGGTACCAACCCTAGCGGGGCTTTGCGAGCGCTGGGATAGCGTGGGCACCACGCATAGCATGTAGTGCGAGCTCCCACCAGGAAAAGTGGGAGAGTGTCAGCCCAGGGGCAGGGTTGCCCCGGGCCATGGCACTCTGGTTGACCCTGTAGATACGTGATCCAGTGTCCCCAGAGAGGCCACCAGGTGGGGGGGGGCTAGGGGGTGATCACGTGTCTGGGGAGAGCTCTTGAGAGAGATCGAGAGGGAGCTAGAACGCTCGAGGTGGGCGGGGCCACGGTGTTGTATATGTGGAGGCTCATAGACAACAACGGGCAGAGCGGCCCCGACCCGGGGGGGAATATAAGGTGGATCCCTGAGAGGAACCGGGGTCGCTGCATTCTACAAGCTGAAGCTCCACGTCTACAAGCTGGAAGCTCTACGTCCTACAAGGCATCAATACGTGGTCGGGGACCCGAGTGAGGGTCTGACCCTCCGTAGCTGTAACTCCTACGTATAGAGTAGTTAGCTGGGTGGTCACCACCCTAGGTTGTACCAGGTGAAGGGGCAGTTACCCCTCTGTGTTAGCGGGTTGATGTTAAAATGAAAGTGTTGCCTCTAAAGAACGTCTGCGACTCACTTGGACTCACTACAACTGGTGTCGGAAGTGGCCAACAAGCTAGTTTATACAGCTAGCTGTAGACTATGTCTACGTGTCGCAGACCACGTACCAGGACGTTGGACGGCGAGAACGAGGACCTCGTGCCGCCTACAGCTTTGGAGGATGCGGGGGGACACTGCCAGCGGAGCAGGGCACCATTCGGGCACTCGACGCTTCGCCGTCGGTGGAGGCGACTCTCCGGGAGGCGCACGATCGCCTCGCGGAGCTCCTCCACGCTGTGACCTGTCCCAGGGTCTTGCCGGTGAAGGAGGGAGTGGCGATGCAGCTTGGAGATGACGACTCCACCGCCATTTTGCAGTTGGCGGGAAACTCTGTGGCGCAGCCCGCGCATTCGACCGCCATTTTGTTGCCGGCGCGGAGCGCGCAGCCCGCTAAAATTGAAGGCGCGCTTTTGGCACCGAGGGACATCCCGGCTCTCCAGCGTCGGCCTCCCTTTGCTGGAGAGTTCACGGCTACCAGTGGCGACTGGGTGGCCTTCAAGCGGCGGTTCCTCATGAACGCCAGCTTGGCGGGGTGGACAGAGACGGAGGCGCTGCGGGCGCTACCTGCTGCCCTCGACGACGACGCATTTCTTGCCATCCCACCACCGGAGAGGTCCACCCTCACGCAGGCTTTCGACCAGATGGCATCTATTTACAAGCCTCCGGCGAACGTGCGCCATAAATTTGCCATGCGACAGAAGGGGGAGGACGAGTCAGCCCTCGCCTTCCATAGCACGCTTTTGACGCTGGCGAAAGCCGCCTTCCCAGAGATGGACGATGGCATCGACACATTGGTCCTGGAGAGATTGCTGCCCTTGGCGGAAACCCTCCACATAATTCTTCCAGCCGAAGATGATGACATCTCGTCTCTCAAGATCGCTAAGTGCATCCAAGCCCAGCTACTTCTACAATGGGACAGGGCGCAGGTGACGTGTGCCATGTCCTGCATGGGGCCGGGGCCGCCTGATGGAACGGAGCCGCTTTTTGCATGTGCGTCGACTCGGGGTGGAAGCAACCGGCGTGGTGACGATGCGCGGCGGACGGTCGAGCAGCGGCAGCCAAGGTCGTCATCTCGCTCCAGAGGCGGCCATGTTACCTGCTACAATTGCGGCCTGCCGGGGCACGTATTATCGGGCTGCCGCGTACAACGACGGCACCTCCCAGCATCACCGCCATCCTACGCTTCCCTACACCCTGAGGCGAGTCGTGACGCATTTCGCACTCGACCCCTGGCCTCACCTCACCCATCTAGGCATTTTGATTCGTGGCCTAATCGCGCGTCAGTACGGGGGAGTCCTACATGTAATCATGAGGTTGGTCAGCTCCGACTGGATCAGTGGTTGGAGCTGGCCCATCGAGTGGTGGCTGCAGCCACGGGTTCATCTACCATGCTTGGGTCCATTAAGGGTGTGGAAATAAGGATGCTAGTCATCACGGGTGCGTCGGCAACTATCATTTTGGAGCTGATTTTCAATATTTTGCCCCCTAAGTGTCGGGTTCTAGACCCTGTTGATGAGCCGTGTTTCGCCGCTGACGGCGGCTCATTGGGCATCATCAGTCGGATAATGGCCGAGGTGCGCATCGCTGACGTTAAATTATCGGGACACATTCTTGTCTCCATTTCACTGGCTGTTCCATGTTTACTTAGAACCGATTTCCTTGATAGGATGCAGTTGGAAATCTGCATTGACCGCAGCTGTTTGGAATTGCCATCCGGACGTCGTGTGGCATATTTGCCTTCCCGCAACCCGGTTGTGTGCGGCCAACACTACAGTGCAGATGTTTGTTCCCCTCCGCTTGAGGAAGCTGCTCGATTTGGGTGCTACGGGGTACGCAATTGTAGCTCATACGTTAGTGTCCAACGACCAGGAACCTTTTATTCAGGTTCTTAATGCTGGGCTGGACACCACGGTCACCCAGGAGGGTATGGTGTTGGCTCACGTGTCACCGGCACGTGCGGAAGGGGGCGTCATCGGGAATGCGGGTGCACGCGACAATCCCGGGGGGTGGATCATCCTTCTCGCCTGGAACCGGTTATCACGCCGCGCAAATTAATGTCATCTCCACGTCGCTGGGGCCGAGTGTCAAGTGTGTCTGGCAACCCGGGGTGTGTGCCAGCGGCAGTTGGTCCCCGGACAAAGCGATTCTGTTTCGCTTCCAGGTGCTGTGCGACTAACGTCCCCTGCGCGGCCGCGCATGTCGGCTTTGCAGGCTTCAAGCGCGGAGGATTTGTCGACCCGGCCTACTGCTCTCCGTGAGGAGCTAGGTTCAGTGGAACATTTGCACATTCCCCCCGGGAACTCCAGGGTGAGCGAGCCCACCTCCCCTGGAGGCCTGGCATAACGCACTCATTCAAAGACTCGTTTTTCGTGATACCCTTGCACACACGCTCCCACGCTGTCAGTTGCTTGTCGCGCTCACTGTGTCGTGGCGGTTATTGGCTGATCCTGGCTGCCATTGAGCTCACGATCATTGTTACATGAAGGTGGGAGATGTTATGGTAAGAGGGATCCCGAGGAATTACGTGTTTGTTTATATTGCTTGTTGATGGGGTGTTGCTATTATGGGTTCTTTGGTTTACACCCTTCTCCCTGTTGGTTTGTAATTTAGTAGATGTGTAATTTTTATACAGGTAGGTTGGGGTATTTTTTATCTTGTTATTGTTGAAGCACACTATGTTTTCTTACAGTTCAATAATTTGTTCGTTTGAAGGGGGGAGTTGACAGCTGGGACGGCTGAATGCTACGAAGGGGGGGTGATGTAGTGACATCGGGGATGTCACTATTTGGTGCCGGCCTGAGAGGGCCGTGGCGTGCGATGCACTGTCATTGCGTACACCCCGTGGGCAGGTGTGGTACCAGCTCTAGCGGGGCTTGGTGAGTGCTGGGATAGCGTGGGCAGCACGCAGAGCGTGTAGTGCGAGCTCCCACCAGGAAAAGTGGTAGAGTGTCAGCCCAGGGGCAGGGTTGCCCCGGGCCATGGCTCTCTGGTTGACCCCATAGACACGTGATCCGGAGTGTCCACAGAGAGGCCCCCAGGTGGGGGGGGGGGGGGGCTAGGGGGTGATCACGTGTCCGGGGAGAGCTTTTGAGAGGGATCGAGAGGGAGCTAGAACGCTCGAGAAGGCGGGCGGGACCAAGGGCGGAGCGGCCCCGACCCGGGTGGGATATAAGCTGGGTCCCTGAGAGGGACCGTGGTGGCTGCATTCAACAAGCTGAAGCTCCACGTCTACAAGCTGGAAGCTCTACGTCCTACGAGGCATCAACACGTGGTCGGGGACCCGAGTGAGGGTCTGACCCTTAGTAGCTGTAACTCCTACGTATAGAGTAGTTAGCTGGGTGATCACCACCCTAGGTTGTACTAGGTGGAGGGGCAGTTACCCCATTGTGTAAGCGGGTTGATGTTACAATAAAAGTGTTGCCTCTAAAGAATGTCTGCGACTCAGTTGGACTCACTACACATGCAAGCCTGATTGCTGATGAGACACTGAATGTCAAAACTGGTACAAATAATTTTTCTATTAGGCCATGTTGCCGATGAGACCTGTACAAGATACTCTTATATGTGAACGTGGATGGATATATATGAGCAGGGGGAGAGACAGCAATTTTGTTTCTGTGTGGGCTATATGGAAAGGCCACCGCATGTCACTCTGCTCCTCTGGCTCATTTGGGAGCCTGTGGTCACCATGAGTCTGAGTCATATTGCCGAGTGGAAAAACATTTCCCTGAGGACGGCTCAACTCTCTCTCTAACCGAGCCACTGCTCAATATCCCACTTCTTCTTCTTTGCCTCGCTGATTAAAAAAAAGTGTAAAAAAGGTCAAGAGTTATTTTGTGCTCAAATGGGCACTGAGGTGTTCCTTATCACCCATTTATAGTCCTGAGTCAGTGGTGGCAA